GACGATGCGCCGCCACTCGTGGCAAACGCATGACGCCATCCACGGAGCATCTTCATCAACCACGGACCAGAGTACAAGTATGGAGGAGAGTAGTTCGATGGGTAGATGGTTGATGCTCGGCTGGGAGAGCATGTCCATCGTTGGCTTAGCACATCGGTCCGCGAAAAGGACCGCAAAACGAATAGACTAATGGGAATACACTCGAGGTAAGGAGGAACAATTAAGATGTAAGGAAAATGCCACGTACAGGTTGTGATATCCAACCTGATGATATCCTTTGAGTCAAATAGGTGCCATGCAAGTCTGTTGAACTGGTCAAGTTGGACGCGTTGCGGTAAATACGACTCGTCACGTCAGTCACATTACGTGTCACTGTCACCAGAGTGTGACTGGCGCGACGTTGATCCCGGGCGCAGGTCCTCCGCTCTTCGCTGTAGACCTGGACTGGACAATATCATATTTACCTTTAGGAAACTATCACCTCGTTTCGCCATCATAACACCCACTTTCTTTGGCACTTTAGAGCACCCGACACAATGTGACTCTCAGAGTTCTGCCAAACGTCGACTATGGAAGTTTATCTCCTAGAAGCTGTAGGTCGTACACCGTGATGCGCCCAAAGAAGTCCGAACTCTCCTCAAACACTACTCTAAGGCTGCGCACGCCGTCCGAGACCCCGTCCGCCGGGAGATCAAAGCCCTGCTTCCGGTTTACGTCTTCTGGATAGACTTTTGTCCACAGCTGCCACTCGGGCTTCTCCTCTTCTGCAGCAACTTCGAGCGAGCATCTGGTGCCCGCAAAACCACCTTGGAAAGTTAGATGGATCTTCTTGGGGACCACGCGGATGGTGAAGGTTAGCTGGACGAACTGTGGCGTTCCCTGGGGAATTGGAAGTTAACGGTGCGTCTGCAACACCCAATATATGGTCGACTACCTGCTGAGATGTCCAGCAAGTCTCTGGACTGCCATCCGTGAGGTATTTCTTGCCTACAGACTTGTCCAGAGTCGAGCTTACTCTGCAGCCGGCCTTGTGAGCTCTTTTTCTTAAAGTGGTTCGCTGACGTACTTGATCTTGGTGTCCGCATCTATCAGCTGCATCAAGTCGCCCATGTCGAACGCCGCACGAGGTTCCTTGCTGCCTGCCCTCCCTCGTCTACGTCGATTGAACCACAGAGAGCGCGACCAAGGCTGGCTATGAGTGAAGATCTCCACGTGGTCTCTCGTCGCTCGTGGCGTCATTGGCGCTTAGCAGCTTTCGCCAAGTGTACAGCTCCATCCACTTATAAGAGCCCGCCTTACCCGAGGCCCTACTCCATACGATCCCTTGCCACCATGCCCACCTCCACGAATACCGCCACCTCCCTCCCAGAATGGCTAGAGCACGCTCAGAAATTTGGCCATCTGGCCACCGTGCTCCAAGTTCTAACGAAGCGTGAAAAGGAGAGGATCGCTCTTAGCAACGCCTCACGCCACAAGAGCAATCCATCGAGAACTCATCGTATCACGCACCTTCCCTCGACACTCATCAAAAACGACGAAGCCGTCAAGCACTACTCGATATCGGTGGCCTGCCATCCAGATCACATAAATTACAATCGCTACACGGACGTAACGCCCTACGACCGCACCCGGGTTATCGTAGGGCACAATGGGCTGGAAGAGCCGTCGGGGAGGTATCTCAATGCAAGTTGGGTGCGAGAACTGGCCGGAGGAAAGTGGTGGATCGCGTCGCAAGCGCCGTTGCCGGACACTATACATGCATTCCTCACAGTCATCCTTGAACCCATTTCCCCTCCGCCCGCCGTCGCGCAAAATATTCAGCCTATCACAGGCTCCATCAGTCGAGTGCGCACCGTCGTGCAGCTCACACGAGACGTCGAGAGCGGGATGCGCAAAGCGCACGCATATATCCCACCCAACGTCGGCGACTCGTGGGTCTCTGCGTCCGAGCCCGGCTGCAATGCGAAGCCGCTGAAAATCACACTGCTGGACGTCGCCCAGATAAATGAGGCACACTGCCTGCAAAGCACCGTCTCAATACAACCGCTCAAGTCCATGAACGCGGCGGACGCCGTCGGCGAGCCCGTCGTCTTCAAGCACATGCTCTTCTCGTCTTGGCCAGACCACAGCGTGCCACAGCCCGAGGACCGCGCCGCGCTACTTCGTTTCCTGCACCTCGTCGACCAGACGAACCGCGACCTATCCTCACAGCCTGCCGCAGCGCGCGACAGCCTCGATCCCGATCCGCCGATCATTGTCGGCTGCTCTGCGGGCATCGGCCGCACGGGCAGTTTCATCGCGCTCTCGTCCCTCCTGCGCGCGTACCGCTTCCTCCTTCCTCCTTGCTCGTTCCTGCATGAGCCGAACCAGGAGCTGCCACCGCTTGAGCCGAGCCTACTGGGTCCTCTGCCCGAAGAGGTGCGCGAGGACAGGGTCGCGCAGGAGGTCGATGCGCTGAGGGAGCAGAGACCGGGCATGGTACAGAGGCCCGACCAGGTGCAGCTCATCTTTGAGTGTTTGATGATGGCGTTTGCGACACAGAAGCCTGTGGATCCGTAGGGTTCTTACCTTTGTTATGTACGCTAACCTTGTGTGAGCGATTATGTCCTTCATTTGAAGACCCAAATCCATTAAACCTTATACTAAATTACTTCTTTGTCCTGATATTTTGCACGTCTTGTCGTTCGCACTGCACGTTCAATATCATCTCGAACCGCCCTACTGAGCCCCCGGGGCAGGCGCTTAGCCCTCCGGAAATGCATCTTGCTAATCCCCATGCCCATGGCGCATACAGCACCTGATTCGATGCAATGTGAGAAACGTGTTCCCATCAGAACTGGTCCGCGCAACTCGTGTGCCAAAGTATAATGAATATTCACACTCGCATGTCGCGGAACGCCGTCACCTCATCCTTCCGCTCACTGGCAAGCCCCAAGACGCTTGCGTCCCCTCCCTCACCACAGGCTCTGCGTGCCAGCACTCGCATACATCAAGTTTCGCGGCATCTGTCTGTTACAGCAGCTACAAGCAACAAGATGTCCTTCCCGAGCACCGTCCAAGCGATTGCCATCTCGAAGACCGGCGGATTCGAGGTGCTCGAGAGGCAGGCCGTGCCGTTCCCGCAGCAGAGTCCAGGCCAAATCTTGGTCAAGGTGCATCTACTGTCATTGTTCTCGTGCATGTGCGGTCCACTCACAGAGGCGTGCTTGTAGATCAACTATGCAGGTGTGAACACCATCGACACCTACTTCCGGTGCGCACGCCTGTAGTCAGCCTCATACAGCCTCGATCCTAAGCTGCTCAGCAAGGGCCTGTACCCCATCAAGTCCTTCCCTCAAGTTCTGGGCAGCGAGGCGTCCGGCACCATTGTCGCGCTCCCTACCGATCCCAACGTACTGAACGACGCACGGTACAAGGCGCGTGGGTACAACGTTGGACAGCGGGTTGCAATTGTATGTGGTTACGTGCATATTGCTAAGGGTGTGAGCTGATATGCCGGGGTGCAGTATGGCCTCGGTGCACATGCAGAGTACGTCGCGAGTAACTGGGTGCACACGTTCCCCGTGCCAGACGAGGTCGGACTGGACGTCGCGGCCGCCGCTCTCCTCCAAGGTACGCCTGCCCTGTGGTCCCCTGTGTTCACTCGCTGACCACACGCGCTAGGCCTCACCGTCATCACGCAGATGACCGAGGCGTACAACGTCCAAAAGGGCGACATTATCCTCGTGCACACCGTCGCCGGCGGCTTGGGCCTGCTCTTCGCCGCGTACGCCAAGTCGCGCGGTGCGACAGTCATCGGCACGACGAGCACGCCCGAGAAGGCGGAGATCGCCAAGTCGTACGGAGCAGACCACGTTATACTGTACCCCAAGGAGAACACGGTGCAGCGCGTGCTCGAGATCACGAACGGCGAGGGCGTGCATGCGGTGTTCGACGGCGTGGGCAAGGACACGTGAGTGGCTAGCTGCTTGTCAGGGCGTGCTCGGGCTAATTGATGCATCGGGGGGTAGTTTCATGGCTAACTTCGAGCTGGTCCGCCGCAAGGGTACCCTTGTGAATGTCGGCAACGCGTCCGGCGCGGTGGAGCCCATCTCGCCTCTAAAGCTCTCCGCGAAGAATCTCAAGCTTGTCCGTCCAAGGTACGTCTGTCTTCTGCTCATCAGGCCTCCGTTCTATCTCACGACACGAAATAACTCACGCCTATCCAGTATGACTAATTACATCACCACCGCCGAGGAGGCAGACTACTACTCTAAGGAGCTCTGGGACGCGCTCAAGAGCAAGCTTTTCAAAGTGCGCATCTGCGGTGTGTATCCGTTCTCGACCGAGGGGGCACGCGAGGCGCAGAAGGATCTCACGACGCCAGGAGGAAAGCTCGCGGGAAAGATCATCATCAAGGTTGCGGACGAGTGATGTAGA